CAGGCACCCAGAGAGAGCTTCACACCATCTTACAATTTCTTATACAATCTCCCTCACTCCTCGAGCTGCCTGGTACTGGTGAGGCTTTCTACTACAAGTGATGGAAACTCAACTCAGGCTGGCCTACATGGACAGCAGAAGTGATCAGCTCGTGCCCAGCATGTGTACCTTCAGGTACAGCTAGATCCAGATGCTCAAACGATGTCCTCAGAAATCTTCCTTTTTATTACTGGTGTTTTTCCTCAATTCTGGAATATTTGCCTCGAATATTGACCCTCCCGTACTCTATCCTTACCTCTGGAGCTCCTGTCAGAATGTTGGTCATTCTCATGTTCTCCTTTATTTATTTTTTCAAACTGCCTTTCATATTTTTCATTTCTTTATACTCTTGGGATTATATTTTGGGTAAATTTGTTGGCTTTGTCTCCTGGTACACTAATCCTCTCCTAAAACATGACTAATCTGCTGTTTAAAGGTCCCTCGAGTAATTAATTTCAGGCTATGTTTTCCATTGCTAGAAATCCTGTAGTTCTTCACACATTTCTCTGCTCTTTTCCATTCAATTGTACTCTTTCTATGCAATTTCTCCTCCTTTTAATTTCTCTTTAACTACTTTAAGCTATTGCTTTTGTTGCTTTTTTTATTTTATACTCATTATATTCCTTCATATCACAAATATTAGACTGTTCATCTTCCTTGTGAAGTTTAACCACTCTCTTTCATGGTGGAGACTTCTCATCTATGAATTGTGAGTTTTTTTGTTTTGTTCTGTTTTTTATCATGCATGCCTCTCGAACTGTGGTTGCTTTGCTCTATTTTGTTCCTAAGGAACTCCTATGCAGTCTTATAATCGCATTTGCATGGGTTCAGCTTCAAGTTAGTTTCTTTTCTTGTGATTCCTGTGCCACAGAGGTAGTATAACTTCAGTCCCCACACCCAAGGGCAGGATTTGTATCAAGCATCGTTTCAATATCTCTGGCCCAGCAGGTAGGATTTTCTCATCCCTGTACATGGAGAGGGCTCCTCTCTATCTCCTTAAGCTGCAATGGCAAGGTCTCACCTGGAAGTGACTAGACAAGCATCCAGGAAAGCAGCTGCACCCAGACCTGGTTTGGCATGAGGAAAGGGGACAGCATTTAGACTTTCCTAGCAGAGGGAGAAGTCTTTCATGGAGCTGGTAATTGGAGTCTAGCAATGGGGTCTGTAGCACAACGGTTAAAAGTGGGCCACTGGAGCCACACTGCCTGGCTTCAAGTCCTGATTGTGCTTCTTGCTAACCACATGACAGTGGACATTTTTTTTTAATTGATACATGGTAATTGTACATATTTATGGGGTGCAGAATGATATCTTGATACATACAATGCATAATGATCATATCAGGGTAATTAGCATATCCATCACCTCGAACATTTATCATTTCTTTCTGTTGGCCACATACAAAACTCTCTCTTCTAGCTATTTGAAAATATACAATAAATTATTATTAATGATAGTTACCCTGCAGTGCTATAGAACCCTATAACTTATTCTTCCTATCTAGCTGTACTTTAGTATCTTTTAACCCCTTCTCCTCCTTACCTTTCCCTCTAGTATCCACTATTCTACTCCCAACTTCTAGGAGATTAACCTGTTTAGTTTTATGAACACATTTCCTAACCTCTCTTTAAGTAGGGAGTATAATCATACCTATTTGGTAAAAGAGGGGGAACTGTATTATGTAAGTAACTGTGAACAGAACGTGTCCCATTATAAATGCCCAGTGGATATGAGCTCTCCTTTTTATTAGGATTGCAAATTGAATGCTCCTCCAGTCAGGAGAAAGTGCTATGCCCCGACTACATCCAGGCTCTGTCCTAGATGCTGAAGATCTGGCNCAGGAGAAAGTGCTATGCCCCGACTACATCCAGGCTCTGTCCTAGATGCTGAAGATCTGGCTGCCTCTAAGAGTCTCTGTCCTTGGAGCGCTGCTGCTCTAGGAGGCAAAACAGAAGTGTCTGCAGCTAACTCAAGATCCATGCCTTCTGGGGTACTATGTTTGCTGTGGGCAGATGTAGGAAAGGGGACATCATTGTTGCCCTAGGGAGGAGGCGAGGAGAAGGTTTGTGCTTATTGAGGATTTGCCAGGACACAGGGATGGGGGTGGGGACATTTCTAAGTCAGTAGCTTTCAAATTTTTTTCACCTCTAAGAGTCTCTGTCCTTGGAGCGCTGCTGCTCTAGGAGGCAAAACAGAAGTGTCTGCAGCTAACTCAAGATCCATGCCTTCTGGGGTACTGTTTGCTGTGGGCAGATGTAGGCAAGGGGACATCATTGTTGCCCTGGGGAGGAGGCGAGGAGAAGGTTTGTGCTTATTGAGGTTTTGCCAGGACACAGGGATGGGGGTGGGGACATTTCTAAGTCAGTAGCTTTCAAATTTTTTTTGACTGGTCCCCAGGATGGGAAATAGTTTATGTAGCTACTTGAGCACTGACAGAAGAACAGGGACTCTCCTAAATAAACTCAACCCCATTCCACTTGTCCTTAGCTTTCTGTTTTCCTCTAATGGTGATTTCCACAGAAGCTACCTGTGCAAAGCAAAAACAGCACAATTAAACCAGGCCCACCAGATACCGCCACCCTCTGGCACACAGCACACCACTGTCAGGCTGACAGTCACACAAAGCATCTTTACAAGGTCCTTAGCTTTCTGTTTTCCTCTAATGGTGATTTCAACAGAAGCTACCTGTGCAAAGCAAAAACAGCACAATTAAACCAGGCCCACCAGATACTGCCACCCTCTGGCACACAGCACACCACTGTCAGGCTGACAGTCACACAAAGCATCTTTACAATATAGCAGGGCAGCCTTACAGGGTAAAACCTGCTTGCTTTCCTGTTTCTCAGGCAAAAAAGGTGCCAGTTAATTCACTGAGGAAATGCAGGGAGGAGAGAAGAGGGTTTTTCTTAATGCCCTCAGCTCTGACAGTGTTTCCTAGCCCTCCCTCCCCCACCCCTACGGTCCCCATCAGCCTGTCATCACAGACCACACCTGAGTTCATTCACCAGCACCAGGCCATGAAAGGAAATGCAGGGAGGAGAGAAGAGGGTTTTTCTTAACGCCCTCAGCTCTGACAGTGTTTCCTAGCCCTCCCTCCCCCACCCCTACTGTCCCCATCAGCCTGTCATCACAGACCACACCTGAGTTCATTCACCAGCACCAGGCCATGAATCAGTGTCTGTGACAGGATAGCAAGGGCCTGTCATGGAGGCCAGTCACTGTGAAGACAAGCAAGTAACTTATTCAGGTGATGTTTTCGTTAGTGAAGCCAGCGGGAGCCCAATGTCAGAGTTTCTTGTCTGTTTTCCCCCTGTAAGGATTACACTGGAGCTGTTAATGCATCTCTACCTGTGTTCTTGTTTAAGTTAAGGGGATTTCTCCAAACTTGATGTTGTTAGTGAAGCCAGCGGGAGCCCAATGTCAGAGTTTCTTGTCTGTTTTCCCCCTGTAAGGATTACACTGTTAATGCATCTCTACCTGTGTTCTTGTTTAAGTTAAGGGGATTTCTCCAAACTTGATGTAAAACCTTTATGTTTTCTCTCCAGATCTGTCAACCACTGAGTCTGGATTTTGTGTCCTGCTCCCTGTTTCTTTGGGTACTTTTCTAGGAGAGGGGTTTCTTAAGAGGAGGCTTTGCTCCAGGGTGGTCTTCTAACTGCCTCTCTCCCCATAGGAAGCCATGGTCAGCACGTGGCTACAGTTCAGCGATGGCTCTGTGACACCCCTGGACATCTATGACACCGAGGACTTCTCTCTGGCTGCCACCTCCCTGGATGAAGCCGTCCTGTCAGTCCCCCAGGCCCGCTCCCTCAGGTGGCCCATTGTGGTGGCTGAAGGGGAAGGCCAAGGGCCACTGGTCCGAGTGGACATGACGATTGCAGAGGCCTGTCTGAAATCCAAACGCAAGAGCGTTCTGGCCGTGGGCGTCGGCAACGTCAGGGTCAAGTTTGGACAGAATGACGCTGACTCCAGCCCCGGTGGGGACTATGACGAGGATGAGATCAAGAACCACGCCAGCGACCGCCGGCAGAAGGGTCAGGACTACGAGCGCACAGGCCAGGATGGGCACTTCTACGGGAGCTCTTCCATGGAGCGCGAGGAAGGGGCTCTCCGGAGAGTCACCACCACAACCAAGTCTCTGCTGGCCAACAAAGTGCTGAAGAACAGCCGGGGGGACGGGGGCAGGCTGCCCGGGGAGGGGCAGCTGCAGAACATCCCCATCGACTTCACCAACTTCCCTGCCCAAGTGGACCTCCCCAAGGCCGGGGCTGGGCTGGAGGAGAACGACTTGGTGCAGACTCCCCGGGGCCTGAGCGACCTGGAGATTGGGATGTACGCCCTCCTGGGGGTCTTCTGCCTCGCCATTCTCGTCTTCCTGATCAATTGCGCCACCTTTGCCCTGAAGTACAGGCACAAGCAGGTGCCCCTGGAAGGTCAGGCCTCCGTGACCCACTCTCACGACTGGGTGTGGCTCGGCAATGAGGCCGAGCTGCTGGAGAACATGGGAGATGCGTCGCCGCCCCAGGATGAGCGCACGACCATCATAGACCGCGGGCTGGGGGGCTACGAGGAGAGCAACCACCTCCTCCTCAACGGTGGCTCCCCAAAACACGTGCAGAGCCAGATTCCCAGGTCGGCCGGCTCCGGGGGGAGGCATGGCAGAGAGCAGAAACAGGAGCCCCTGCACTCGCCCACATCCAAAAGGAAGAAGGTGAAGTTTACCACTTTCACCACCATCCCCCCGGACGATGGCTGCCCCACCGTGAACTCCATCCTCAGCAGCCAGGACGAGGACATCAAGTGGGTGTGCCAGGACACGGAAGCGGGTGCTCCCAGGGAACTGAGACACTATCTGGAGAAGTTCAGAGACAAAGTGTAGGGGCCAGCCCAGATGCCTGCCTTCAGTTCCACGGTAGATTTTGGTGCCAGAAATTGTCCAGAGTGGACAGAAGGATTTCTTAGTGGGGTTGAGTGGGCAAGGCTGGGGTGCCGTGACAGACCAGTGGGGAGTTTTGAAGTGGGGAAGGGATGTTTTTGTATAGAGGGTTTTTTTTAGCAGTTGATGATGGCGTATTTTCGAAAGTAAGAGGAATAAACTTTAGGGGAAGCGGAGGTCAAGGTGCAGAGCAGCATGTTCAACTGAGTGATGCAAAATTGGGAAGGTTATTTTATGAGTCAAAATATAATACAGAAAAGCCACCAAAAATTATTTGTTAAAAAATGCAAAAAGACAAATAAAAAGAGACAGAGATGATAATCTGTTTATATTTCTAATAAAGGAGCAAAATATAAAAATAGGGCCTGCTAAGAGACATTTTCCATTCTAATTCAATATTCACTTTGACTATCAATTGGGGCTGGGGGGTAGAGTAGAAGACATACTGTAAAACTCTGAATATTGGTTGCCTCTTGGGATAGACTAAGGATTTTTAAATCTTTACATGATCATCTTCTCTTCTCTTTTTCACCTTTCCTTTCTTTTTCCCCCCTTTCTGTGCCCTAGACTTCTATTTGATTTATATTTAATGTTTATTTCTGAAGATCAAGTGGTATATTTTTCCTAAACGAGACATAAATTATATTTCTATTCATTAGGTGAATTCTCAGAAACAATGTCAATTAATCCATCTTTTAAGTAGTAATGTTAATGCTTTTCTATATCCCTCCAGTTCTGTTGGTATCTGCTGGCTTTTTGCCACTACAGGGAGCTCTCAGAGCCTTCTGTGAGGGGAAGGAAGCTGCCTTTGATCCATCAATACCATTTCCCTAGGGCTAAATCCAGTGGGTCCAAATGGGACGTGGCCAGCAGAATGGAGCCCACTCTGGGCCACCTGCCCACTCAGTGACTCCATCCCTGTTGTTGGGAGATGCCCCTACATGGGGAGATGTTGGGTCAAGACCAAAAGAGAGACAATGTCCAAAAATGATCAGAATCAACCTGGTGGGTTGGGTCTATCACGGGACATAACCAGTGTTGGAAATGAACAAAGATAAAAACTCTTTGGGGGGTTGTAAGGGTTTTTTCCTACTTTGTTGGGCAGGGTGTACCAGCATAAACTCAAAAGATAAAATCTATGTTAGATTGCCAATCAACTGTGTTTTTGAACAGCATAATTGTGTAGCAGCACATTGCAGGAAAGCATTCATCCAAAGTGTACGTTGGCAAAGAACACCATGGCGGAGTAAAACAAACTCCTTCATGAGCACCTGACTCCAGTTCTCTGTGTACTTGGGCTGCGGGAGGAAGACATCAGCAAGCATCGAATGCTCTCAGCAGGGAGACGCTCACAGAGATACCAGAGATGTTGGTTGTCTTTATTTTTTTAATTACTAAAATCAGTAGCTAAGAAAGGGTCCTTGAAGCCTCATAATGTTGGACCTTTTAAAAATATATTTGTAGCACATGTTATAGACCGAAAGAAGATATTTATTTATACCTGTGATACCAATTGTCATTAAAATGCTTTTCCATGGCTTGACAAGTCAGTGTCTTGTGAGGTGTTTCTTTTTGCATTTAGTTCCTGTCCTCTACCTCGAAATGTACAACTTGCTGAAGAATTAAATTGTTTGGCTAGAGAGAAAACAATACATTTGCCAATCTTTCCTTCTCACTCTCTCTCCAGTTTCTTGACTGATCCACAGTAATTGGTAATAAAGGAATCTTTCAATCTAATATCCACTACCATCTACATCAGTGCTCAGAATCACCAAGAGGGCTTGATACAACCAGTGGGTCACAGGCCCCCTCACTGGAGTTTCTGATTCAGTAGGACTGAGGTGGGGCTTCAAAATTTGCCTTTTCAACAACTATCAGAGCAATGCCAAAGCTGCTGGTCTAGTCTCATGCTTTAGAAACTACTGATCTACATCAGAGAAGAAAGAAAGCTTTGGCATTGGAGGCAAAAGTGTTGAATTTCTCATCTAGAAAAAAGGTTTACTTTTATTTTAATTGTGTTAGGTTTGTCATTGTTCTTTGTTTGTTTGTTTGAAATTTAAGTGTTATCATTGTTGCTATTGACTGGTTGGGGGAAGAGAATTTTTGGGTAGAAGGAAAGGTATGTTTTATGTGTGTGTGTGTGTGTGTGTGTGTGTGTGTATACATATATAAAAAAAACAGCTTTATTGAGACGTCATTCACATACCATAAAATTGGCCCACTGAAACTGTCCCACTCAATGGTTTTTTTATTGTATTCACAGAGTTGCACACCCATCACCACATCAATTATAGAATATTTTTATCATCCCCCCAAAACCCCATACCCTTTAGCTATCACTTCCATATTCTCCATTCACACCAGCCCAAAGCAACAACTACACTACTTTCTGTCTATGAAGATTCGTGCAGAGTTCCTGGTATTTATATCATCACAGGAGACCCTCCTGAAAATTCTCCTCAAGGGAATATAATCCCCACGACATCATCAAGTAACAATTGTTCTTGTGAGAAGCAGATGTGATTAATATATTGCTACTGTTTTCTTAATCAAGACAGCAGAAGATCTTAGCCTTCTCACAATGCAGAGAGAACAGTCTTCAAGACCTTTTGGGTAGATGCCATGTCCACTCCTGTATCTAGATCGCTCTGTATTATTTGAAAAGATTAGTGCCCCAAATAAGGAAAAGGAATATTATGATTGGATATAATGCTAGATGCCTAACTTCTGTCCTTAGTTAAACTATAAAATGGTCTGAACCATTCCCATAGCCCACCCAGCAGGATCTAGTAGCAAGCCACCTGCTGGCCTTGGGCAAATGCCTCAGTGGTTCACTAAGGTCAACTGATCCACCCCAGTTCTGAGACAGTGAAGACAATTTAGGACTTCCTCCCTCAGACAGGAGGCTCAAGAAACACCTGCAAGTGATGTCATTAAAGAATGAAGTATCTGTGTTGGGGTGACCATCTGGTCCCATTTCCCCTGGGACTGTCCTGGTTTTAAAACTGGAACACCCATATACCAGCAACCCTCTCAGGGAAACCTGGAATCGTCAGTGCTATGGGTTATGTAAGCAATATCAACTAGCACTGAAAACTTTCTGTTGGTCATTTCAGTCACTTGGGGGTCTCATGATGTTCAAAATTTCTCTTTTATTGCAATCTTCAGACTCAGACATGATCCTTACTTAGAGAGAACACACAGTCCTAATTTTGTCAGATTCTAAAACAAATTGGATCAGTCATCAAGGATTTCTGACACTCCTTCCTTATGGTGCACCATCTGCTTTCCAAGCCAAACACCCTAGAGCTGCACCCCCCGAGAGGAGTCATGGTTGATAACTTGCTCCCACAGTGCACGCAGGAGTGCTGAAAATGATGCAAATAGAGTCAAAGCAACAGACAGTCTGATCTGCGTCTGCAAAAAGCCAGTAAGACTTCTGTATGTTGTAATGAAGGATCAGCTTGCAGCAGACTAACCCTTCCATGGATAATGACAGTGTCATAAGATATTTTTAAAACAGCTGTTTCAAGGCATTGGGAAGCCACCACAACAGTCAAGATCAAAGGGCAAAAATCCCAGGGAGATCGGATGCATAATGAGGCAAGCCCCACATTTACCACCATGCACTGCCCTTGGACATTTATTGATTCCCGTGGGGGAGCTCAGAGACTGAACAAAAAGCAACAGCCAAAAGCTTGCATCAGGCTCATTGGGCTGGACAGACAAAAATCATACCCAGATGATGAAGGTTTCAATGAACTAAGGGTCCAAGATGCCTGAGAAAAGGAAGAGCAGAGAAGTAAGCCCCGTACCCAGTACACAATTTTCTCTTCAGGCATTCACCAATTTCTAAACTTGTACCAGACAGGGGAAGTAATTAAGAAACTAAGCAAAATAAAACCTCTTTATAAAGAGGTTCAAAGCTAAGCTGAGATATGGTCGATGTCACAGTACTTCAGAGACAAAAACTGGAGCTGAAAGCCCACGAGATCTCACATACACCTCAGGAATAGAATAAAGACCCCGGAAGGACTTGTTCCCATACATATGAAAAAACTGGACCTAGAACAAATCTCACAAAGCCTGAATCAGAGCCCCAAATTATCTCAACTGATGACAAGATCAAGGTCTTCCACCAAAGACCTCCACCTTCATCAGTGAACTAGGTATACCTCAAGACCACATGCGGAAGTGTCCATATCTCTCATGTCTTAACCCCTCTCCTCTGCCTGCCTGAAACCACCTCCAGAGAATGCTGGCTCATCCTTCTCCTCCGCCATCCATGTCTTCTGCAACTGGCTCCCATTAGCAAATTACAATGTGGAGCCATATAAAGAAGGGGATTCTGGGAAATGTAGTACTGGTTCTTAACTCATGTTGCAGGGGAGTCCTGAGAGAGGAGTAGAAATAATGCTGGATTGTCAAAAGGCAATTAAGGACATACTTTAATTAAAAGACAAAGATAGTGAGAACAGATTTCAAGAACCAAAAGGACATATACTGATTAAAAGAGACATACTCCGAAAATAAGGACCAAAACAAAAGTTTGAAAGTAAAAGTAGGACAGTACAATGTGCAATGTTAACATTAATACAAGGCTAATAGAGCTATATTAATATCAGAAAAAGAACATTGAGGCCAAGAAGTATTATTAGAGATTAAAGGGCATTTCATAATAATAAAAGTGTTATTTGAAGAGAAGATATAACAGCCCTAATTATGTATGTACCTTGTAATACATAGCTGCAAAATATATATATATATATATTTAGTAGATTAAAAGCTATAAAATATTGTTGAAAGAAATTAAAGAAGACCAAAAAAATGGAAAAATGTCTGTGTTCATCTAGAACTATAAGATCATAAATGTGTGCTGTTGTAAGCTGCTAGGTTTGTAATCATGTGTTATAGCAGCAGTAGGAATCTAACACAGGTTTGTTGACAGATGAACCTCTGGAGGGCCCAGGAATAGTCTCTCCTGGTGACAGCACAGGCACTCAGTAGCCACAGCAGCGAGGCCCTCCCTGGCCAGAGGCAAGCCATGCTGCTAGGCAAGGGATGGGCCTACTTCTGCCACCTCGTGTGCTCTGTCACTAAGCACACTGGAGTGGCTGAGGACGTGGGCTGGCTGACTTTCACTTGTGAGTCATCCTATCCACCTGCTTGCTCTCTGGGGGGCATCAACATGAAAAACAGAGACGCTCCAATGTTGTGCCTGCTCCCATGAGTTCAGCCATATGCCCCTTGCTCAGACTTCCTTGTTCCTAAACTTCCAATCTTGCTCCTTAAGGTGTCTAACCAACTAGCCAAACCCTTCATTATTGCCTAGAGTCCATGTATAGTCATACCTGAAGCCACCTCTGTCTGCATATGATGTGGATGAAATGTGCATGTCCAAAACTCTGCCCATCGGAGGGAATTTTATACAGCCCTCTTTCAGGTCCACCCCCAAGTGTGTCTGTAGTGTAGACTATTTTTAGCTCATATCAACATACTAGCAGACCCATCTTTGAATCAGGCTTGGTTTTCTCTTCCTCCATCACCTGGTCATATGGAATCCCTCATGAGGCCATCAGCACGAGCTGACAGCTGGTGTGTCTGTGCTCTCTGAGTCTGCTTATGCTTCCTCCCAGAGGTACCACTTCTTTCTTACAGTGAATAGCTGTTGTGAGCTGCAACCTTGGGACCTGAAGGGCCTGGCAACACCGAGGTCATGATGGTTGCACTGTTTGAGGCTATATTGTTTTTTAGGGGCTGCCACAATAAATGACCACCAACTTGGTGGCTTTAAACAAACCAGAAAAATCCTTATTCCCTCATAGTTCTGGAGAACTGAGGTCTGAAATCAAGGTGTCGGTAGGGCCACAGTCCCTCCAAAGGCTCTGGGGAGGATCCTTCCTTGCCGTTCAGTTTCTGGTGACTCCTGGTGCTCCATGGCTTGTGGCCTTGTCACTCCAGTGTCTGTGTCTGTCTTCTCTGTATCTCGGTCTCTTCTCCTTTTCTGTCTCTTATAAAGACATGCATCATTGGATTTAGGAACCACCCTCCAGGATTATCTCATCTCAAGATCCTTTTCTTAGATACATCTGCAAAGACTTTCATTCCAAATAAGGCCAAATTCTGTGGTTCCAGAGGGATATACCATTCAGGAGGCAGTACTCAACCTGCTACATGTGCACCCTTGTCAGGGCCCAGGAGAAAGCTAACAGCTGCTTTTTTAATGGGATATATTTCTCTCTTAGAGATGGAATGGCCATGCTCCAGAACCCTAGGCTCTGCTCTGAGATTTTTATTTTGGAGCTTTCCAGAGGCCACCCAGGGCACCTAATCTAACAGATACCCCTGCTACCATGGGCTCTGCCAGTTCACATGGCCCAAGTGACGAGTGGCCCAGTGACAAGTTCTTTTCTGCTCTGAGCCCCACTAAAAGTTGGCAACCTTATGAGTCACCCAATAAAAGCTTGCAACAGTGTTGCCAAGAAAGGCATGCTATCTCTGAAACTAGAGGAGGCATACCAAGTGCTGTGCCTCTTTCTTAGTTGT